GGGTGGAAGAAAATGCAAATGCAAATTTCTTTATTCTTTCAAAATCATTTTCTCTCATCTTAACATTACGAATCACTGTGAATCACTTTCAACTGCAAGCATTAATATCAGATTGTCGTATAAAAATGTATTATAATAAGATAGTATACAAATATTCTTACCAAGAAAATAAACATTATGTGCATTTTATTTCAGTTCTTTATTCATATCCTAGGTACTCAAATATCAGTGAAATGGTCTTATTTTCCTGTGAACCTTTTAAACTCCTAGCTCCAAGGGCCAACGACCTGACTGAAAAAAATTGCGTGTTAACCTTCCAGCCACATGACTAGTACTAATGCATGTCCTGTGGGACCACTGTGAGAGAGAGAGAGAGAGAAAGAGAGCGATCTTTTAGTGAAGATTACGTGTATCCAAAAAGATCAAAATCCTGTCTGAACAATTGTCGTATTTCGGCCATAGTTTCCTTTGCAACACTGTCAAAGTAGGCTTCGTCAGAAACCCGAAGACTTGTTGACGCACTGTGAAAACTCCCAATGTTTACGGCCGGGTCCATCCCTAAGTCATCAAACACGTGTCTGGCCTCCTGGCTTATGTTCTCCATGTGTAAGATGTAGTCGTATTTTTCCCCACATGGGTTGCATATGCAGGTCTGGGGCGTCCAGTGTCGGTCGAGAATCCCGTGGTCTCGAGACCATAGAACGTGGTGAAGGAAATCTGGAAAGCTGAAGGAGGCGTTGTAGAAATGATCTTTATAACGTTCATTCTCTTTATGAGGGACCAGTGCTTCTTTTAGGCTGCCGGTGTTGAAGAGCAGAGATAGCTTGCACGGGTTGGACACGTTCTTCATCCTCTTGAATCTTTCTGATAACCAAAGAGAGGATTTGATGTCGCCTCTGGACACGAGTGCGGGGAGCCAGAAGAGACCCCAGCGGGTCTGCCACGTCTGCCCGCTGCTGGTGGCCGCTTTCCACGCCGAGTCGTAGACCGAGATCGGAGCGCCGTCTAGATACTTGTCCCTGTGAAATAAGCATTTGTGATCGACATTTATATGCTTCAAGCACAGATTCAGATATATGGATAGAATGAAACACACACATATACATATTTGTGTGTGTGTGTGTGTGCATGCGTGCGTGTGTGTGGGAGAGAGAGAGGGGGGGCGCCAAGGCGCCCCTTTCAGTCGACTCAGCTGTGAATGAACACTGGTATGCTACGTGCACATGGGCATGGGACCAACTTTGAACTCTGAATTGTCGGAATCGGCAAAATGCCCAAGATGTCCTCACAAAATATAGTCCATTTGTTACTTACGCATGGTAAGGCTTACCTATATGCAGATACGAGACGAGATAAGGGATGTCTCACGCTGACAATGCTGACTCTCCGCTGACCTGCTGACCACTTAAAAGAAAGTTCTGGAAGCAGTCTACGCCAGGAGGATGACCCACACTGAGGAGTTATATTGCACTGTTATACTGCATGTATACTATATAACAGTGTGATAATTATAATCATAAATAAAATCTGTTAAAATGCAACCAGAAGTAGTTCCATAATGCAATATAGTGTAGCATACCTATTGCAAGGATGATATTTATGGTAGTTGTGTAACAGTCATGGGCCTTTCTATCTAAACCTTACCTTGGGAGGAACACATATGTCCAAGACCTGTGACCATAGTGTATAGTCCATCCTATACCACGGTTCCGCATTCAGTACTTGGCACCCTTTCCGCAGGTGCCAGTGGCGTCGTAGATTCAGAGACGCGAAGGATCCTGTGGTTGCATTGGCTCTAGGATCCGCCAGGAGCTTGTGTGCGTCTCTGAATTTTACGTGAGTGTTGTTCTGAGTGTTTAAAGTCTTATTGTTGTTATTCAAAGTCTTTCCCATCTCCCCCAAAGTCGCATCAATCTCTTCGAAATGGGCGTTTCTCTTCCTCGCGGATCCACTCGCTTCTGGGTGTTCTTTACGGCCGCTGTCTAGATCTCTGCCCACTGCCAGAGGGCGCAGGTCGCCCTCGCTTTCTTTTTGCTTTAATTGCAGCGTTATCTAGAATCAAATTAAAGTGCACTGTTATGATATTACTAAACACGCATGGTAGTGATATTTGATATTGTGAGATCATGAAAAATCTATAGTTCTGAAATATTGACACTGACCTGAGGTTAAAGGAGGCAGGAGGCTTTTCACTTTCTTCTGGTTTTAACTCTGTGGCAATGCATTTTATAAGGTAAGATGTGATTGATCTATCATTTGGCACTACCTAGTGTACATTTACTATATTTTTATGCTTAATGTCACATTTTACATTATATTAATATAGGGAACCTGTACATAAAATGGTATTTTTACCAAAAGTAGACATTATAATGACTTTCGTATCGATGGACTGCAATAGTTGTATGTTATCCATAGGGCGTCAAGCCGTCTGGGAGCCCTGGACCCTGATGGCAAAGGGAGCGAAGTGACCAATATTATAGACCTTTTGAAGCCTTATTGGATGGGGTTGAGGCTCAAATAACCGCAGTCATGGCGGGCTCCCCAACCCCCGAGGGCCAAGGGCGTTACATTAACTACAGTTCCGCCACTATTGGGTTGTAAAGCATTCATAGTGAACACTTCATTGATTTTAAAGAGCAGGATTTAGAGTAAGGGAAAATGATTTATGAAATAACGAGCAGATATGTGGATTGTTATGTAAGAATTATTTAAGCAGTGCTATGACCCAAGACAAATCATGGAAAACGGAGAGAGAGGTGTTAGTCCAGAGATAGATAGATAGAGAGAGAGAGAGAGAGAGAGGGGGGGGGGGGGAGAGAGAGGGGGAGGGGGAGGAGGGGGAAGGAATTTTATCTTAATCCGGGGTTTTCGAGGTGATAGTCCAGCTGCAGCACTTACCACGGCCTGATACCTGGAGATGAGGGCAAGGGAGAAGAAGGTCCCCAACATTAAAAGGAAAGTCGAAATGCGCATCGTACGTGTACCCTTGGCGATCGGCGTCGTACTAACTAGTCTGTCGTTTAATTCCATTTGTCCTTGAAGAGGTGGTGCAGTTGTACTCTTGTTTCCAAACTTAGTTGAAGGAGCTGTTACTTGGTTGATGGTGTTTACAATCCCAAGTCTGCCATTCTTGTAACATGTGCGTCTTTTCTGTCATTCACGGCTATTGTACGAGAACATTTTCATCATATACAGTTTCCCGCAAATGACTATTTTAAACAAAGTAACGCAGAGACACTACTATCAACAGCACCTGGCATCACTTCAATAATACATGTACACATACCCGAACGAATGAACTTACACACTAACGCATCAACAGGCAATGACAAGCACACACACACACACCCAAACACACTGTATATTAGGCTACGATATCCAACAGCCGCATTTTCTCTCCTGGTTTTCCTCTTTTAGACTCCACGCCTTTTTTTCCGTACGTTGAAGATATAAATAGATAAGTTGTTATACTGACATTGCTGGAGTGTGTGATGGGGCCTTTCCTCGAGTCCTCTGCCTGTTCTTGAAATTCTACTGAAGGAAGATAGGAGAGTGATGTTAATGAGGGTAATAGGCGTGTCTGCGTGTGTTTATATATTTACATTCAAATACAATGTACAAGCCTGCTGTGTGATCGTACAGGGAATTAGGATTAAAAGACAATATTTTTTTTTCTCATTTATTTTTCACTTTTCTTAATTTATATAAAAAGAAAAATAAACTGGACACTGCATTTCAACATTTCAAAAGAGTTTAAAACAATATCACGATTGTCTGTGTCACTGAGATTTGACATTTTTCGTTCTCTCTCTCTCTCTCTCTCTCTCTCTCTCTCTCTCTCTCTCTCTCTCTCTCTCTCTCTATCTCTCTCTCTTCTCTCTCTCTCTCTCTCTCTCTCTTCTCTCTCTTCTCTCTCTCTCTCTCTCTCTCTCTCTGTCTCTCTATCTACCTATCTCTCTCTCTCTGTCCTTAAGTTGGATAATTAATATTATTGCCATTATCACTATTCTTATCGTTACTATTATTACGATTATCATCATCATCATCACAACCACCATCATTATCATTATGATTATTATTATTATTATTATCATAATCTTCATTATCATTATTATTATGATTTTGTATTATTCTCCATATCATTAACATTGTTAACATTAACAGTTATGGAGATGATAATAATAACAATAATAATGATAAAAATGGTGATAATAATAACAATGATAGTACCTATAAAGATAACAATAACAATAATAGTATTGATAAAGATAATGATATTAATAATGATAATGGTAATGAAAATAATAATAATTATGATAATAATAATGATAATGATAATAACCATCGTGAGGATAATAAAGATTATGATAATAATAATGGTGATGATGATAATCATATAATGATACTGATAATGGTAATAGTAGTAATCATAAAGATAATAATAGTAATGCTATGATAACAATAATAGTATAATGATAGTAAATTTACTAATAATAATAACTGATAATTATTATGATAATATGATGATAATGATAATAATATGATAATAATGATAATAATAATAATAAATGATAATAATAATAATAATAATAATGATAATAATAATAGCAATCACACTAAAGTAACAACTAAAAATAATATCAGTGATAGTAATAATGATACATATTATTAAAATTACAACGATAACATTGATAATGACCTCTGGTCATTGCGACAACTATAAAAAAATGTATTATTGAGAATGAACATCTTCACAACAGAAGAGACGCATTCCACCGGTTTCGATTACATCTATGTCAGAAATGAATGATCTCTGACGAAGAAATAATCAATACCAGTCAAATGCATCTCTGTGAAGATCTTCATCCTCATTCATACCATTTCAGCATTAATGATAAGCTTAGAAAAGTAGCATATATTAGGGTAGTCGACGAGAGCAGTCGCTAGCCGAGAGATTTCCTATACAGCAGAACTGGTTAATTGGTTCTCCTCTTCGCTCCCTCCTTCTGTGCCTCCTGCAGGAACTCTAGGGTCCTCTATCACATCCTTTGTACTTGATCTGAAAGGTAGGAACTTCGGTATTAAGCTGTTAACGGGTGTAAGTGTTTTTTTTTCTCTCTCTAAATGCCATCTGAAGAAATTCCAGTTCATTGGTTTCCAGAGTGGGCGGTGAGTCAAAAAGAAGGCGGTGGGGGGGGGGGGGGTAAGTGAACATTAGGACCCGTTAGTAAACAACATTTCTATCTTCTTTTCTTTTCTTTTCTTTTTTTCTTAGTGATTTACAGCCTGATGACGAAAAACACCAAGCATACCCATCCCATTAACAATAACTGTTACTGTGGTTACTGGTGGGGGTGCTGATTAACCCTTCCATATGTCAATTAAAACCGTTAAATAAATTGGTTTACTAAATAAGGTTTTATTTATGAAATTCGTCTTGTTGTTTTCAATCTTAAACATATAAAAAAGATACAAGTTAGCGTTTCTTTTGCTTTTTTTTGTGTGTTTGTTTATCCGTCCTTGGGTTCTTTAGGTGTATGTGCGTTGAAGATGAATTTGTGTTGCTGGATTTTTAAGGTATATTTCATTATTATCATTTTTGTTAACGTGATATGAACTGCAAAATAGCAAATACACATACTGAGAAATACAAAGATAGATGGATCTGACGGATAATACCAAAAGGTCGGCACCTTTCGCTTACCTGGCCTCGAAGCGATTGATGGTGTCAGGGAGTGCCGCACCTTGCGTCTCAGGTAGTGCCAGCGTTGCCAATCCAGCCGCCACCGAAGACGCGCCAAAGACCACAGAGGGAGCCCAAGGGTAGACGGAACCCTGTCGTGGTCACATTATTGGTGTCATTCATATGTTTAACTTCCTTTGGTATGCTATATGTACTATCTAATTTTCTTATCCTTTTTGTAATATGATGAAGAAGAATGAACTCTTTTCCTTCTTTGATCCTGTGAAGATTAATCGTTAGTCTCCCAAACTCGATCGACCGGAAATAAAGGCCAATAAAAACAAAACTTCCTTTGAATTCAAAACTGCAATTCCCTTCCGCGAAACCGCTCTCCCTTTGAACAGCCCCTTTAAACACCCTCGTTCAAACCCTCACCATGAACTCCGTGACGAAGGGCGCGACCATGGCACCGATACGGGACATCATGAAGGAGGTGCCCATGCCCCGCGACCGGACCTCCGTCGGGAACACCTCGGAGGCGATCAGGAAGAGGATGTTGAAAGTGAAGGTGATGCTCATCTTCCCCACCATCGCCAGGGTCACCGCAGCCCAGGCGTGGTCTGGGGGTGGGAGGAATGCCCTTCAGGGGGTGGGGGAGGCAGGAGGGGTAAGGGAGAAGTCATGGCTTTTGGTGTGTATTCGAGAGAGGGGCGTCTGTGTACATATATATAGAGAGAGATGTGTGTGTGTGTGTGTGTGTGTGTGTGTGTGTGTGTGTGTGTGTGTGTGTGTATGTGTGTGTGTGCGTGTGTGTGTGTGTGTGTGTGTGTGTGTGTGTTTGTGTGTGTGTGTGTGTGTGTGTGTGTTTGTATGTGTTGTTTGTTATGTGTGTGTGTATGTGTGTGTTTGTATGTGTTGTTTGTTATGTGTGTGTGTATGTGTGTGTGTATGTGTGTGTGTATGTGTGTGTGTGTGTGTGTGTGTGTGTGTGTGTGTGTGTGTGTGTGTGTGTGTGTGTGTGTGTGTGTGTGTGTGTGGGTGTGTGTGGGTGTGCGTACGTGCGTGCGTGCGTGTGTGTGTGTGTGTGCGTGCGTGTTTGTGTGCGCGCAGATTCACATATTCATAAATAGACAAATAAGCCCATAAACAGACCGACAAAGGCCCCAGGACGAGGCACGCACGCCCGAGTCCTCACCTGTAGGGATGAAGGGCGGCGCTAAGAGTGCGGTGCCGCTTATTACGAAGAAGAATATATTGAGCGTTTTCCTGGCGAAGCGCGTGATGATGGGGATGATGACGGTGTTGCCTGGCACCTCCATAAGCCCCGAGAGTGCCATGTAGAGGAAGGGGTTGGTGCTGAAGTTACCGCCGCTGAGGGAGAGGCCGAAGAACACCAGGCCCGTCACCAGGTAGTCGACGTACATGACAATGGTGATGATCCGTAGGCGGGGCGTCCTGGGGGCGGGGGGAGGGGGGGTCAGCGATGGTTGGGGAAAGTGCGGGGGGGGGGGGGGGGGGGGGGTGATAGGTGTAGTGAACACTTCAGAGGTATTGTGATCGTAAAAGATTTAATAATCGTGAGGAAAAGAAAAGCTGTGCGGAAAGGTATGGCGATAATGAAATGAACGTTGATCTTAAACGATATGATGATTGTGAGAGATATGGTGACTGCAAAGAATATGGTGATTATAAAAGACAGAATCATAAAAGAGAGACACTGTGCAGGAAACTGGAGGCTTTCTTTCATCGAGTCCATATCATGTTCATGTTCAGGTAATGGCGTGTTTATAGTATAAGATCGTCATTATGGATTCGATTAAAACGATCTAGATTAGCTGCCATCAGCTGATATGTCGAATGGCATGACATGATAGACTCGTACTGTTTCTGCTCTGATTACGAATCCTTTGCACTGGTTTTAAAGAATGATCAATGTTAGCAATGACACCTTATCAATTAATTCAAATGGTCTGAATGGAAAAGTTTATTGTTTTCTTATATGCATATGAATCATCCCTCTCTTCCTAGATTTTCGTTATTTCGTTCTCCCTTCCTTAAACTATATCTAGTCAATACCTATATCACCGTAAATACGCTGCATCCATGGAACACAGCAATGCCCTCTTCTGCAATCAGATGGATTGGTCAGCGGCGCTTATCGCCTTTCCTTCCGCTGATGTCCACGCCTTGAAATCATCTCTAATCAATCTTCTGTTAAATTTTAACTTACGCTGCGGCTCTCCTTTTGCTGGCAGTCTCCTTGCTTCCCACATCCTCCGCCTTCTCCCTTATGCCGGCCACCCTGCACATAGTCCACCCGTTTCTCGTGACCTGACCTGACCTCCGTTCACCTGTCTTCATCTGCCCCGTATTCACTGTATTACCTCTCCACTCTCTTTTTTATACCCCCCTCCTCTCCCCTATCTCTTCAGACCTGAAGATGGAATCCGAAATTATTGTATCATTTTCAATAGATTTAGCTTGAGGATAAGTCCGATATGCAAGCTGAGCCTCGCCCGGGCTATGAGGGGAGCCCGGCCTCTGTCGACTAAAGCCTTGGTCACACTAGTAACTTGTAGCTAGGGATCCCCATGTATATAGAAAACGTCTGCAACTAGCGGGCGACCCTCACAGCTAGCGATGGAAAACCAATACACCGCTGTGTTGGTGTTTGGTCGTTCGCTGGTGGGGGAGAGATCTTATCAAAACAAAAACTATAATGTTTATTTTATAATTTATCCTTTTTTTAAATGTTAAATATAATAACCAGTACATAAATAAACCTCTCTCAAATAAATATAAGTAATTTAAATAATTATGTACAATAATATTTTATTAGACTGAATAGATTATTGAAGGGTTACTCGCTTGACCATCGAACGTAAACACAATTCTTTTAACAAGTTATTGCTTACATTTTTATCTTTTCTTTGTAGCCACTTTCTCATCCACAGTCTTTTTGGCTTCTTTTTCTTTTGTCTTACAGCAGCCAGGGCTAATGCACACTGTGTAAACGCCGTAATAGCTGAAAAATAGCCACAAAACTCATCTTCGGAGGAAACCTCCATGGTGGATTGTTAACTATCGGCGTCACCGCTGCGCGGGGACGATGGTTCTTTCTTGACCACATCCCCGTCTACCGATAATAGCTGGTGTTCATGTGTAGGGGGAGATCTCCTCATACAAGTTACTAGTGTGACCGTAGCTTAACCCATTGCCGCCGGGGAAAATGAACAAAAAATGGGGGAAATGAAGTACTCATTTTTTATATTTTTGTGAAATATCTATGTCCATAGATGGCTCTGCTAGTCCTGATTTCACCTTTCCTTGAATTGGCGGGAAAAAACGTATTTTTACTAGTGCTATAGATATAGGTGGTGTTATTTTTAACAGCAAATTAGGATAACGTTAAATATTTTCTTAAATCGATGAAAAAGGTGAACGGGCAAGACAGGCAGTACTGTAATTGGCTCGTTGGATACTTAGTACAAGTGTAGCCATCTATGTGTATAAACAATCAAACAAGTCGACTCACAGTGGGCATGGCATGTACGTACATGCCATCCCCGGCGGCAATGGGTTAATGTCGACTCGCTAACAGTGTGTCAGCTGGTGCTGACTCGGCTTTTGTCCTTACCCGCCGTGGTGCCCAGCCACAGTAGTAACCTCCAGGCGACAATTACAACTTCTCGCGCCTGGGGCGGGGCGCGAACCGCCGACCCCTCGGATGAGAAGCCGACACGTTACCACTGTATTAGCCTGCATTGGGTTTTTCTACTACTACCTATATCAACGCTTCTCAGTGGATTAATTAAGCCTTTTGAAAGAGGCAAAGGGAAAATATCTAGCTTCACTGTTGTTAATGTTCAACAATAGGAAGTCACTGTTATTATGGTGACAATATATTTATTTAGTCGATAGTAGCCTGTTATCTAATTGATAATATTTATTTGCCGATATTAACACATTCAGTTGACATTTGGGGAATATTATATAAGTAATAATATTCAGTGATATCGAAAGAGAGTAAGTGTGAGAGCGAAAGACATACTGAAACAGACAAAGACAAAGAGAGAGGGAGAGAGAGAGAGAGAGAGAGAGAGAGAGAGAGAGAGAGAGAGAGAGAACCAAAAACAGTAAAAAAAAAAAAAAAAGAGAGAGAGAGAGAGACATGGGATGGAAAATTAAGAGAGAAAGAAACACACAACTGACGAACAGACAATCACCTACACGTAATAAAAAATAGAGAAAAACAAATAAAGCAAACCATAAACCAAAAAAAGACAAGAAAGAAAAAAAAACCTTAGTCTTACC